GTAAAAAGTGTGGGTTGCTGGGTGGAGTGTTGGACACCTGATGCTCATTCCCTTCTCTCTGCTAAATACCTGAAATAACTGGAATGCATGAAACAGGATGCCAGTAATTCTCTTTAAATTGAGTGTTTGCTTTGGAGGACTTCTACAGGAGAGAAAAAAAAAAAAACGAGGAAAGAGAGAAGAGGCAGAAAGACAATATCAAAAAGAATATATTAAAAAAAAAATCCTTAATTAAAGTGCAGGGAACTGACAGCAAAATGAGAAAAACCCTACCTTGCAGCTTCTAAAGGAAATTCCATGTCCTAGCAATCCTGATCAAGAATTAAGATTATTTAGGAAATTAAGGAGGACTAGTTCTTCAGAAGAATTCAGCACAAGCAACTTTCACTTTATTTGGTCAGTTCATTACAGTGCTTCTCCAGGAGATAAGGGCTAGCCAGAAACCAGCCTTTGAGAAAAAGCAGATCTTTTACACAGGAATGGAATCTTATCTCCATTGGCAGCCCCTGCTCGGATGGCTCTAGCCAAGTCCCCCTGCAGAACCATCCCAGGTCCCTCAGCATGATGGAGAGGCTCCCTTATAGCATGATGGGTCAACAAAGAGCTACCACCTCTTAGCAGAAGACACACAAACAGATATGACCCCCTTACAGCAAGTGTAAACATCGTGGGGCAGCACAGTCACTAGAGTCAGCCTACATCAGAAGCTGAGTGAAGCCCTTGACTCCATGAATGAGGTACCCTGGCTACAGCAGATGCAGAGGACATTTACATTCACAGGACAATATGGGCAGGTGGCACTTAGCACACAGGCTAATGAGAGTGCCCTTCCCAGGATGCTGCCTAACAAAAGCAGGGATCCATTTCCCCAGAAGTGACTCCTTGCAGGCTCTCTATGGGCCAGAGCAGACATTTCCTCTCCTTGCATAAGAAAGGCCTTGTCGCTGCACGTTGCTGGAGTGGAGTCTCACATACCCTTGCCGGCAAGGCGACAAAGGAAGACACAGTGGCCAGCACTGTGTCACCACTTCATTCATGAGGACTGCAATGCCTGCAGGAAATGAAGCAAGTGTGCATGGCCAAAATTAGGCTCTTTAGAAGCCAATCTCATCTTCTTCTCCCATCTCATGAAGCCCAGCTTTGAAGAAGGTTATGGTCACAAAATGCAAATCCAAAGTATCATCAGTGAAGACAGTATCACTGCACCAGATTAAAGCTGGTGTGAGCACAGAAGGAATCAGCCTCCAGATAAACTGCCTCTATGCTGGTCATGAGGTTCCTGATATTGCCCCAGACAGATTTCATCTCCCAAGTAGGGAGACACTAGCCACATCCTACTTTTCTACAGGAATAAATGAACAATGATCTCGTCATGATTTTCTTAGCATAACGTTGGATTTAGTTGTTTTAACTGTTTCTGATGTGTTCAGCTCTCTTTCAGCCATGATGGTGCTGCATCTCTCCTCCAGCTTCCCTCACCATCAAATGCATCTGCAGCAGCTAATCTGGGATGTCAGAAAACTCCAGTCTGAGGAGATCATAGAATCAACAAGGTTGGAAAAGACCTTTCAGATCATCAATACCAACCATTAAGATGAGTGCTGCAACTGGGTCCCTTTGTTACTCTTGGTCCCAGTTAAGCTGTCACTCATCCCCACCTGTAAAAGATGTTAACTGTGTGATTCACCATCAGCCTTACGACTGAGCACTGAGCCCATTCTCAGTTGAGCACTGCTGCACTAACTAGAACATGGGCAGTCACGACCCTGGTATTCAGCAGTCCTTCCAAGGCTTCAACTCACCAGGACAGAGACCTTCGCCATAAGAAAGATTAAGATCAGGGCTGAGATTCACGAACATCTTGCCAGATCACAGCTTGATACTATTTGTGTGTTTGGAGTGTGACAGCTCAGAGTCAAAGGACAGAGTTCCATGAAGCTTCCTTTCCCTTGAAAAATTTCATTTTCAATAACCTTAATTCTGCCTGGATTTAACAGATATGACTCACCTTCTACATCAGCCAGACCCAGTGAGACAGGCTCCTCCTGATTTACACCAGAGAAGAGAATCATCGATTGGGATGCTGGTTCTCATTTACAAGGAGTTTGCCCCAGTCTGAATGTAAATAGGAACCCTGTAGGAAGGATAAACTACCAGCATGCACCTAAGAGCAGTACATAACTGGAAATCAGGCTACCCTCTCCATGTCTAGTCCTTTCTAGCAGCCGATGGTAGATTAATGGTATGTGTGACAAGACAGACGAACTGGAGCTAAGATGGAATAAAAGGGAAGGTACATATATCTGCCTGCCTGGCAAAGTACTGAATGTACAAACACTGCAAGCAGATCCTATGGGGAGAACCACACTTTTAATCACCGTTTGGCGTATTTGCCTTTATGGGTCCCAATTTTAAAGGCAACCTCAGATCTGACAAAAGGAACGAGGAAGAAGAAAAAAAAGATGAATCTTTGTGCAGATGGCTGTACCAAAGCGAAACTCTTTTCAGTGTTAATGAACAGGCAGCAAGACACAAGGTGAACAAGGTAATATATCAGCATTTCTCATTTCCATCTCTTGCTAGAGTAAAACCTCTATTCTCAAAGCACTATCAGCACTATCAGACACGCAAAGAATCATGTCCTGAAGGCCCTATAGTGTTTATCAAAGTGTCTTTATTATTGGGATAAACTTAAAAAACCCAAAGAGATGGCTCCTTCACGGAGCGGAGAGAAAGGAGCAAACAGATCTTACATCAGAAGTCTTCTGAAGCTGATCACACAGAAGACAAAAGCATCCCTCCTCACATGTTGGTATATCTGCCCCTTGAGGGGATATCTTCCCATCCAGACGAAATAAGTGCTCAGGGCCACACTCTGTGCTCAGTAGCACCAAGAGTGGTGGGATTGACTGAAGGCAACTGTTGATTTCTTCCTTTCAGCCAACTGTCCTAGACCCAAGCAGTATTTCCACCCTTGACTCTCTGAATTGGGCCCACATTAAGTGCTGCAGAAAGCTTTTCTAGCTCTGCCTGAGTACTACCTGCAAAGATGTATGCACTTGCTAAGACGTGTCCCTTCTTCCTTCCCCTCCAGCACGACTCAGCTTTGACCCGGGGCTCAGCAGAAACAGAGCTTCATAAAGGGGTGCAGCAGAGCAACGGGGGTGGGAGGGATGCAGAAAGGCCAGCGAGGCAGAGAAACCCACCTGCTTCCCACGGATGCGCATTACTCAACCAGTGGGTGCTTAAGACCTCACTCCCACAGGGGCACAGTGCCACCCTGTGGAAAAGGTCCTTCCTCTCCGGGCAGCTGGAGAAGGATGCAGGGAGATGGCTCGCTGCCTCTCCGATGCTCATTAGCTACACTGCTAATGCACAGGCAAGCCATATGCATTTTGGCACTGCGCTGAAGCAGGGCTCTGTAAATTTAATTTATTGAGACTAATGCAAATTTAATTTCTTCTAACTCTTTGTAATCACATATATAGTGGCAAGGTGGCTGCTGCCGACACAGTGATGTGGCTTCTGAAACACACATTACTGCTACTCACTCCACTCTCCTCCACTGACAGTTTAAAAACAAGAGGCAGATCATCAGCAGATCCTAGACAAGCCGGAGGAGAGACCAAGACTGGGTGTCACCTCTGTCCCCAAGACATGAGGGCAGCATGCGGGAAAGAGCCTCAAATACAGTGGGCCACTGACGCCGAGTTTCTTCCACCCTGCTACATCCAAAACAAGCCTGAACCTCAGTCCTTGCTTTGGGTGGGCCGGCAAAGAACCAGGATGCCTCAGTATTAGCAGGTCAGTGTTAAACACCAAGATACAGCCCCAATTGCATAATTCTTTCAGCAGGAAAACAAACAGCAGGTGAGCACCAGTGGAAGTCTTCTCAGTACACTCAGAAGGTGATTTAAACACAGTCTGGAGATCTATTTATTCAGTAAGGGCTGTAATTAGTCTGTAAATTAATCTCAACATATCTCTCTATGGCAGAGTGAGAAATGAGAATCCTTGGAAAAAGAAAAATATTAAGTGTTGCTGCTGACAGATGAACACTCTGTCAGCAGCTTTAAAAAATAAAGACATTAAATCCAAACATAAGGAAGTTGAGTTTATATTTATAACCCCTTAGTAAGAACTGAGGCAGGAGGACTTAACAAAAAGTTCCTCAAAGCGGCTGGAGAAACTAAAGAAACTAGAAATACTAGAAAACAAAGTCTGCCACTTGTACTATGCAGGTACATCTGTATTTCACAATGGGCAATTATTTTGACTTACTTCAGGAGGCATTGGGTCAGCTCTCAGATGCAGCAACCTCTCATTTTTATCTCCATTACCAAAAAAAAATATATATAAATGAATTCTAGTGTATGTGCTCTGTCTTCACTCAAGCAGACTTCTGTTTTATGCCAGCAGTCACACAAAAGAGAAATGAAACACTCATTATTACTGACAATGAAACAAGATTCGTCCTGCTTAGCCTCCCTCCCTGTTCTTCATATTTAACTCCTGCCACAAACTTAATGAACAAAATCTGAAGCAAAGCAGCCTGTGCCAGACAATACACTCTAATCTGAAATTACATCTCCTGCTTTAATGTAAAAACCCCAAAGCACCTTTGATGAAAACACACACACGCCTTCCAAATATGCAGAGCTCAGGAATAGCTTACATATTCAACAGTCAGAACCAACTGGCTGCTTCTGTCCACTGTAATCAGGAGACAGCACTCTGGGACAGTGTGGCTGCATGAGCTTACAAGACACAAGCTCTTGAGCTGGCCCTAATGGAGTTCAGTCTCAACCCTCCACGCTGCAGAAAGTCTCAATAAGTGAAGGCAAGAGCAAAAACAACAGCCTATATATGTTCTTGCAGAAGAAATGTGCCCATCACTCGTTGTGCTTGACAATTAAGATAAAGAAAATGCAAGCAAAGTGTTCTGTTTTGAACCATCTCTCACGAAAAATGAAAGCCATGTTCTGCAGTTCATTCCTTACCTTTAACAGCCCTTTCGGGAAGTCTTTGCCATCATTCATCCCCTGGAGGTTAGCAATGAACTCCTGGCAGGTCATCTTTTTCCCAATGTTCTGGAATGGATGGTGGAGAAATATAGCATCATATTATTACTGCTTTTCAAAATTAGGTAAATAAGCAACATCAGATGAAATGCACCTCCATCTCTCATATAAGCCCAAGGCAGGTAGCACTGAGAAGGCATTCCCAAGGTTACCCAAAGACGAGCATTCCTTTATGATGTTAGAAAAAGGGAAGATGCATTTGGACCCCAAGTCCAACACACCCATCCAAAAAGAATAACACCTAAATACTGGAGGGTTACGAAGAGGTGATGAATAAGCTTCCTGGTACCTGCATGGTGCCTTACAACCCCATGTCTCAAGAGGGCCTCTGATGGCAAAGCTCTACTTGTTCCTGCTGTGGGGAATAGGAAACAGTTGAATGAGGCCCTTTCCAGACTTCTTCTTATAGTTTTCAATGCTCCCTTCCAGTAGCTACTGCCCTGAGTTGCAGTAAGAAACCCAGAAGCAGCCATTACATTTTCTGATTCTTAGGCTGAGGCTGCCCTGAACGTACCATAGGATTGCCCTTTTCTCCCTGTCTAATTCTCAGAATGAAAGTTGCCCAACTGAGCCACAAACAGGAAAGGAATGGCTACATTCTTGTGGGACCCAAACTGCTCCATTTGGAGGCTTGAAGCTGTCCTAAGGTGTTCTTGGATCCCAGTCTCCATCACCCCTTAGAGAAAGTGTCTGTACTCTGTCCCCAGGGTGCTGGAAGTCCCATCATTGGCATGCGGGGAGCCTGTGAGCCATCAGCAGTGACAACACTGACTTGGTGAAAATGGAGACCAGAGCGATCTGAGGAAAAGGAAGCAGCCTGGGATGAGCTGTTAAACATGATAGAGACAGAGGGAAAATAGAGCCAAGGTATCTTTGAAGATGTCACTGCTGCCAGTCAAAACGATGTGAAGATGACTTCTCCATGGTCAGGGTATGTCTTGGCTGCAGAAATATGGTGGAAGGCCTTTGTGTGCAGACAGTAACTTGGGTTAGGATCAAGAGGCTAAATTAACACAGTATTGGAGCCCAGAGAAGGGCACCAGTTGGTAATACAGGTCATTCAATGTTACACTTACATGACAGGTTGGATGGCACATCCTCCACTTCCCTTCCATAATGTATGATCAGGGAGGGATAGAGAACCCGCAAACTTTGACCATCAGCCTCATCTAGCCACAGAGGAAGATCCCACTTCCTGTGGCTGGCATGGACCAGCAGAAAGAAGGCAGGCAGGAATACCGGAACAATGATGCACTGCTTCCCACATCAGGAAGGCTCCTGACAACACAGTCTGGCTGTAACCCTGGCTCTCTGGTTGCTAAGCTTGCAGAACACAGCTTAGAACTGCAGTCTTTGGCTGCAAGCTGCAGCTGTTCTAACAGACTTGCAAATGTTTTCCTTCCTCCCTGCAACAGACTTCAGCCTGCTTCTGTTTGTTTCCTCCACGCAGCACTTCACAGCTTCCCCACGCTGACCAAAACCAACAGCAGTGAGGCTCATTGCACCCACTGAGATAATCGGCACTGCAGAAGAATGGCTGTTTTGCTCCAGGCCTAAAGCTAACATCTCCACACAGTGCCATACAGGCTCCAGAAGATGTGCCTGCAGTCTAGAGATACCTTAAAAGTCTCTAGGATCACATTCTGGTTGATGACCTCCCTGCAGAGAAGCGAGCATGCACCTCCAAGACACAGATAGCAAAGATGGTTTAGATGCAAAGAGAATGAAATGTGGCAAGACAGGGATAAATAAAGGGATAAGTAAGAGTTTGTCTACAGGAGTTAAGAGAAAGTGTGAACTGAAGGCAGAGCAGCTGCACTTCAGCCCTACAAGCAGTTGAGCATATTGTGAAATAAAAGTGTCCACACTTATGATGAGTATGTCAGCGACAAATGGAGCTCAGTGCAGACAAGCCCTGTGACTCATTTGCTTCCTGCTCTGGCAGAATCATGGTAAGCATGGGTCAAGATCATTATCTTTGCTAGGAAACAGGCAATTAGTACATATCTGCAAGGGGCCACATTCAAAGTCAAAAACGCCCAATATTACCACCTATGTGGAATAACACAAAGCATTAAGAGGAAGACCAAAATTACAGGAATTCAGAGAGATAGAGAACACAAGTGCAGAAGTCTGGCAAACATTAAGGCTGCATGCACGTAATACACTAACAACTGCAAGTAGGATAAGCCTCCAAAGTTACACATTGCAACAGCCAGAGTCATTCTAGCTTTCAGCTGCAAATCATCATGAGCAACAATGGGTCAGAGCCAGATAGTTTACTCCAGTGCCTAATGAATATTGTAGGGCCCACTAATGCATCACAGGGATCAACGGCAAATGCTGCCAGGCTGATGCACAACCACTTCTCCCTGTGTGGATGCCAAGGCTGCTCATTGCTCTGGGGAGCCGAATACCTGTGCAGGCGGTTTCAGGCGTGCTCAACAGAAGCAGTGTATGCTAAGAGGTGCACCTGGACATGTTCCTGTACCTCAGCTCACCCTCCCAGCAACTGACATGCTCCTCAATAAGGCAAGGCTCAGCCTTCAGAGACAAAAATCCTTAGCAACTCCCTCCCCCCTTCCCACTTCTACCATTTTAACACAAAGGCATTCAGTTAACAGCAGATGGGTGTCAAAACCCCTGGGAAACATACACAAGCCTCAGCTTCATGACCTGTACTGCAAAGCTGCACCCACAGGGGCTGAACAGCCCTGAGAGAGAGACCGAGGGTGCCTCCATCTCCTGCTGCCAAACCCATCAACCTTGCTGGATAAGAACTCCCAGCTGAGGCCCTTCTGAAAAAGCCCTTGGCAGGAAGGCTCTCAAACAGACAGAAATCCCAAAGCCATTGGCTAAAGCCACTGCTCCTGCATGATGTCAAGCCAGGCTGTGTTTTTCCCTCTCCTTGACTCCAGGATGCAGGAACCCTCCCATCAGCATGAGAGTACCATGCCTAGCAGGTATACTGCACCATAGGTGCTGAAATACATGTCCTAGGGCTGCTGGCACCGTGTACAGGTACCAGTATGACTAAGAGGACTCAAACTGGAATTCTATTTCCCCCAGGCAGGCAGTGGAGGAACACAGGGCTCCTACTCAGGATGCCCACATCTGCTCTCTGCTCTCTTGGCTCCAGTCAAACCCGTCACGACCCTGGCTGCGCAAAGCTCCTGTTCATATCACATCTCCCCTGTGCAACTGGATGCCTGCGAACACCACCTTACCCCTGTGACACTCCCAGCTCCCCTTCACCTGCCTTCTTTCTTCTGCCTTCCCAAATGTTTTCACATACTGCAAAGGGGAAGCCAATCCCAATCACAGCTTCCTGGCCAGGGGCTCTAACTGAGGAAGAATGAGAAGCTCACCAGAAAGACAGGGGCCAGAGGAGAAGGAGCATCCTCACACATCATAGCAAAGACAGGCACAATGCCAGCTTACACGACTGATCTGAGCATGCTGGAGAGCCCTGTCCAGGACATCCTGGGAGTGCAGCACTGTTAAATGTCTGCAGACCTGCATTAGCAGCAGGCTGCCAGCAAGGGACTCTGCTGCCAGAAGGCCACCCCCTCCAACCACTGTGTCAGGGGAGCTGTCTACACAAAGCTGTGCATACTCACGTGGCCATGCAGGTCGGTGTTCAGCAGCATCATGGCACATGTGAGACAGTGAACTCCATCTGCAGAAAGAGACATAACCGGAGTCACATACAAACCCACGACTGGACCTTTATGAACAGCTGAAACTGAACCTTGTAGCCTAATTGAGTCTGTTCCCTTAACGTGAATCTGTTTTATCAAGAAACACACGTAATTAAATAAATGAAGAGTCAGGTCATCACACAGCTGCTAAGACAGAACAGCCTTTCTTTCATCTTGTAATGACTGTAAAAACTATCTCGCAGCACCCATGGATGAGGCAAACTAGACAGGAAACCACACTGTCACTCTTTTCTTGCTGATACCAATAGCGCAGCCTGAATCAAATCCCCCTTCTCCATTTATTTCAGGGCAGAAAGAGAAGAATAAAATACCCCAATTCTTGTGTGCAGAGTGGGTAGAACATGGTATCCTGTCTTCCCCCTCCTCTGGTCCCCTCCTCATTCAGGGCTCAATTAGACTGAATCTGGGAGAATTTCCGTCAGCTATTTATGCTGCCTTGGCTCCATACTGCGTAGACAGCGCTCCAGTGATTTCTAAGGCTGTCCTGTACCAAATGCCCCCACAATGAGCCAGAAGAGACAGTTTATATCCCTTACTCCATCTTTAGAGTCACTGCTGCAGACTTGAGAAAGCCAGCATAGACTGACAGTTCGGAAAAGCGGACACCAAATTCATAGTCCGGAATTTCCAGGCACCCTTTAAAAGCTCAGTGTACTGGCTGTGCACGAATCACAATGAAGGTGACAGTGCCCAGAGTGCCATTTGTCATCTCTGAAAATCCAAATGCCTCTAGTCAATTTATAAACATTAAGAACATACTAGGAAAAATATTTTCTTCATCCTCTTTTTCACAAACACATGATGTCACCTTCCCTTCTCTCACGGGGGTGTCATAAAGACAGAGTCATTTATGAGATATGCACACAGTGCAGGGAGACGTATTTAAAAACCTCCATAGCAGAGTCCAGAAAATGACTATGCAAAAGTCCCTCTTTATTGTGAAAGAAGAGAAATAAGGGGTGAGCATAGATACATCTCACATTCAGTGTGACTATCACAGGCTCAAATTTATGCAGGATGAAGCCATTACAAAAAGATGCTCCCCAAGGTAAGGACCATATTTTCCTTAAACATTTGCAGAAGCCCTAGCACCCAAGCAATGTGGCTGAACTGTAGCGGAATATGAAATGAGAGAAAAAGTGTTATCACTAGTAAGTCTAAAGCAGCTTGAAATGGGGCTGTGGTGCTTCAGTTCAGGTCTATGCGTTTCTCCAGAGTAGCCTGTCCTCTCATTTCCAAACCACAAATGCATTCAGAGGATGGATCTTTGTCTCTAAGCTGGAGGGTCATGGATTCGATGAACAGACCATGACCCAGTTCAACGTGACTCAGCAGTGCACACTTGCAGCCCAGAAACCAACCTTACACTGGGCTGTGTCGAAAGGAACATGGCCAGCAGAGAGGTGATTTTGCCCCTCTACTCTGCTTTCATGAGACCCTAACTGCAGTACTGTGTCCAGCTTAGCCCTGCTTATTCTCTTTCTCACCCTCCTCCCTTTCTCAGGATGTCATCAGCCTGCACTGTCATCACCAGGCCACATGCCTCTGCCAGCATGGCCAGCTGAACACAGCAGTAGTATGCCAGTGGACAGTTTGTCCTTTCCTCCAATGCCACCTCTCTCAGGTTTGATCCATGTGTTTGTTTGTTTCCCCCATCCATTTCTAAAATGACTGAAAACATTGGCAAGGAGGCAGCACTCTGACTGATGTTAGCTAGTTGAGATGAAAATGTGCCAGGGTCTGGATACAACACCCAAAATTCACCCCCACAACTGGCAAGAACTGGCATGCCTGCTGCCAGTGCATGCTGAGACACAAGCACTGAATGGAACGTGGGAAGAGAACAGCTTGTCTTCCACCTGAGATGGGACCTATTCTTATTCACATGTGTGCAGCTAGAGTACAGGTGCCCACATACACTGGAAGTCAGAGAAACCAGAAAACCCCAGCTGAGGACATTCAAGTCTGGAGACGCTACAATTGAGGATTTACACTGAGGAGGTCTAAATGCCTTTTCTGATCTGTATTTACAGATTTTTCACTGCCTTAGCACGATTATGTGTGGAGAATTTGGAGGGTTTCAATACCCTAATAAGGTTCAAGTCTTTAATGTGTCATGGCAATGACACACCTGCAGCTCCCAGGCATGCACCGCACATAGGGATGAAGGGAGACAGCCAAAGACCTTCATATCAGAAACAAAGTTACCTTGAGAAGAAATAGTATCTGGGTTGCACTGGTAATATCTGCTGGAGAAGTGGATTAAAACCCTCTCTCGTTCCTGAGTTTCCCCAATAAGTGAAAAGGCTTTAAAGAAACTCCTGAAAGAAGAGGAGAAAAAAGTGAAATTAAAGTCAAGAACCATTTTTTGCCTCACACAGCACACAGAGTAAAGCACAATTCACAGCAAAATGTACACTAAGTCATAAGCGTACACCAGATACTTTGTTCCAAGAACACTTCTTAGGAAAATGGGCTGTTATTCTGTGTGCAGTTAATCACAGCATGATAGTAAATGAAGCACAAATTACCACTGCTTTCAGCCATGGAATATACAAACTAATAAGCAATTACACTACTTGAAAGAGCTATTCTTATTCTTAGTATTTTTCTTTGGGGAAGGAACTGAAGCAATTGTTCCTTATGAATGACAGACATCCAGGGTGTTCTGTCCTTTTGTAACTGCCTATCACCCCTGTATCTTTCAGCTTTGCACTCACTAGTACTCCCATCCAAATTGCAGGAGCTACTCCAGGGGAGTAAGTGAAGTAAGTGCTCTGCAGACTCAGAGCCCACACAAAAGGTGCTGTCTTCCTCTGGAGGGTCGCCTATGAGAGCGGTGAGAGCGAAATTATTTGCATTCCCAGAGGGCAGGGTGACTACCTAATCTGCAGAAAACATCTGGGGAATGGGGCAGAAGAGTCACATTTCCCAATGAGCTTTAACAGCAGCGGGAGCAGCCTGGCCCTCCTGGGTGCCTGCTCAGGGACATACATCTTCTGCTCTTCATCCAACACTTCACCACCACTCCTCTTCACCATGCTGCTATTCTTCCTGATAGAAAAGCTTGCCTTGTAACCAAAGATGAACTTCTGCACTTCCCAAAATCCCCACATCCTGGAGCCAAGAGATGACCTCAGTGGTATCAACCTACGCTCATTTGTCAGGATGCTTCTAAGAAAAGCCTGAACACACAAACCTACTGGGTCGCAAGCAAACTAGCATATAAAATAAATGCCTAATAGACAATTTTTAAATACCCCATGAGATTACAGCTAACACCAGATCTGAGAGGTGTGGAATATGTTGCTGGAACATTCACATCTATCTAGTCTGGACGAATAAACATTAATTTTTTCTCTTTGATGTAAGGTCAGAGATGGGCTGTACTTGCAATGATCTCGCACCCATACAGAGTGTGATCTGCCTGGTAATAACTTAATTTCACATGTGATGCATTTCAAGTAACCCAATTCACAAGTAGACACAACTGAGTTTTCACAGGGTTTCTCTTCACTTCCTACCTTATACCCTATGGGACATTTTGACAACTAGCCATCTTTCCTCCTCCTCCAGCTCAAGCTCTTTCCAGTGACACTCCCTGCCCACGCCAGATACCACTGACCTACACCCTCTCGTCCTCTTCAGCCCCTTTACCGCCCTGGAAGCAGCCTCAGAGAGGCAACTAATGAAACAACATTTGGCAAATAAACAAGGCAGGTTCCTTGCTCTCAGAACACGATGCTGTGGGCCTAGGACACCGGGTAAGTTTCTGCCCACCAGGAGGACCAGGACAGACTCTGAGAGGAGCTGGAGCCATGGTCTCACCTCCTCTCCTCCTGCAGCCCTGAGAAGACATGACTGTTGCAGTCAGGAGATTCATAGGTGATGTGAGTCCAGGGTGTGGAAGTAGATCAGAATGATGAAGGAACAACATTCCCCATGTTCCAGCCCTGCCAGCAATGGTGATACACACTGCACAATGGCCTCACACAGTTGGGGGATAGCATCGACCTGGGCTGCTGCCACGGGCTTCAAAATGCTTAACGAACCACAGCTTGTCAGCAAGCCAGCAGCAACAGGGCAGTTGCCTCTCACTGTCTCCAAGCAGCATGACTCAGCTCCCCCAGGTTTCGAGATGATGCTGTGCCCCCTAGTATCTGCTGCATGCTCAAGGCATACAGCCGGCCCTTGGTGCGGCTGCTCCTGAAACCTCAGCAAACCCCAGGCATGTCTAAGTCCCACACGAGCCAAGGCGTATTTTAGAGAAGGTCATGACTATTAATATTAACAAGAGATCTACTGGGAGCAGAGACTTCCTAAATATGTGCTACAAAGTAATTAGGTATTGGATTTCACAATTTAAAAAACGGGTATATTTAGCATTGCACTTCAGGGCTGCTAAAACCCCGAGTGAGCAGCAGATCTCCCACTACCCAGGCTGCTCCCACCCTGTGCTGTGTGAGTGCTCCAGCTTGGCTCTGCTCCCCTTGCCACAGGACCAGTCAGTTCACACTTCTTTTCCATCGCCTTCAGCAGGCAGGACTCCAGGTTTTCCATTGGGTCTGCCATGGTTTCATGGAGTCAGCCCTTGGCAACACATTTGCAAGGGACAGGCTAGTACCTGCAGACCTCCTGGGTTTGTATCACTACTAGAAACAATAAATGCATATGAGTAACTTCAGCCACATGATTTAAACTCAGTTTAAATCCCTTCAAATACCAGAACACCAGCAACCATGCTAACAGGCCACTGCTACACAAACTTGGTATTCTGCCTCTTACAAAAAAATACTGAAAACAAACATTACTGAGGCCTAATTTCAGTGGAAGAAGGAAGGAAAATTGAAGGGCTGGGTTTTCAAACACCCACGCTGGCAGCTACCAAACTCTCCACAGCATTTTCCACATGGAAGTTTTTGCTGTTATGCACATTTTTGGGTGCCCCAGAGGGATGCAGCAAGGGGAGCTGCAGAGCCACATCAAACCCTGGACATGGCTTTGTGCACTGCAGCCAGGCAAAGCAAGCTTTAAAAGGCATCAGCCAAAACATCTGTGTGGCTCAGCTGTGAGCAACACCTTCATTCCCTTGCAGCACCTTGCAAACTGCAAGTCCTCTGTTTACTGAGTGACTTGTCATTTGTCCCACCTCCACTGCATCAAGGACCACGTCTAAGCAGGTCCATCCAAAGATTTTCCCCTCTGGTAAATGCCAGAGCCCCAACAGCACTCTGGAATACAGCAGCATATCAAGCCAAACAGAAGAGAAAAACTCCATCCCAGAAACACGTCACATCCCTCTCTTCACCCTCTTAAGCCCCCTCAGGGCAATCTCCTGAACCAGGACAACAGACCCAACAGCACCATTACTAAAACAGGAAGGTAAGGTCTGCAAATGGGATGTACCTGAGCGAGTAGTCCAGCGTCATGCCTGTGAAGTCAAAAAACTTAAGGTATTCTTCGGCCACAAGCTTGCTGAAGTCATTGCTTTAAACAAACAAATAAGTAAAGGTTATCATTTGAGTGAATCCCTCCAGAGCCAGCAAGAACAACAATGTGGCCAAAGGCCTTGTATCAGCACGTACTTTTTACCCAAATGCTTTGCCACATCAGAGCGTTTGAATCTGTCCAGACGATAGAGGCGCTTAGCCAGGCGCTGGGCTGCTTCCAAATTGCTGCTGCTGCCATTGCTCAGATCGTGACCAAAGGCTCCGGTGGCATCTTTCTCCTGAAGTTCATTGCTCCCCATGGCAGCACTGAAGTCTAAAACCATACTCTGCAGTTCAGCATTGCTATGAGACGGAAAAAATATGGAAAGAAGAGAAATAAGATGACATTACAGTTTCAAGAATTATTTAGTTACTCTTAGAATAGAAGGCAATTAATGGTATACAGACAAGATTACACAATATAGCAAATTCCACTTAACTGAATGAGCTGTGTAGAAGGACATTTATTCAGCAGTCATCAAAGGTTAAGAGAGCTAAACACAGAGACCCAAATACGGACCTTCCAGCTCAGAAACACATTTTGCCCTGCACTTACCTTCTGAGAGTGATGAGTATCCACAACCTGTGCTCACTTCACAGAGAGATGTTTGCTATTATCTGTCTACAGCTGCATCTGACAACACTGGCCCCTCATTTGCTTCTTGCACTAGTGTTTTTTAACCCAATCACTTCCTTGGCTTGAAGGGGTCCCTGTAAAAGTAGGCCATTAGTCATTTTCCAGGGGAAAATGCAGAGAGCAAGCCAGGGTGCTCAGTAGCTCCAAGCTACTCAGCACAGGTCCCTTCCTTATTCTTCCCCAGTTGTCCTGGAAACAATACAATTCCCCAAATCTAAAATAACATCCACAGAAGCCTCAGCAACTCCATGCCATCCCTGAGCAGCAAGCATCCCACAGATAAAGCAGGACTCGGACCAAGGAACCCAGTTTGGAGAATAGGAAACACAAGTCACCCAGGCCAGCCTGGAGAACTGCTTCCTTTTCTCCTGCAGTAATTTTCCTCACTCTCTGCTCAAAGACAGGATGTTCAGCATGGCAATCCCAGGGCATTTTACATAAATCATGCATTTATAGATTCTTCCCACCTCTGCTACAGCAGAAAAGCTCTGGCTGGGCTGTGTGCCTGTTTTGCTTCTCCCCACAGAAAGGCAAGAGCCCTCCACACCAGAAAGCATACCCACAGGTACACACCCCTGCACACAGGCAGGCTTTTAACTTTGGGAAAGATCTTCTCTGACACTGCGTGAAAATACTTGCAAAACCGCAGCTCTGTGTGTGTGCGCATGATGGTACTCCTATTAAAAAGAAAATACTATACAGAAATTATTTTCACCAAATCCTCATTTACACAGGGCTAACGAACGATCAGCAGAGGTCATGCACAGGGCAGACACAAATGGAATGAGTTAAAGATGATTTAAAACACAACAATTCAGCATACCATGGTTTCATACACCACTGTAATCTTCTGGCTTGACAAGCCACGGTTAGAACAACCGATCACTGCGCTCCAGTAACAATTATCCAGCCATTTACTGCAATGTCTGATAGCCACTTATTAACCCTTTAAAGATCAGGCGAGCTTAAAACAAAAAAAATTTGCTATTCTGCATGCCTCCTTCCACACAAATCACCACCTGTGCCCTACCTCCCTTCCCATGCATGGTTCAAGAGAAGGAGGTGTGTGTTGCTGGGGAAAACAAATATCTAACCTGTTCCTACAAGTACTGGAGATTTGATTTTGCATTTATTTCAGTGTAAACGATCAGCTGCTACAACAGAAGTAGATCAGTCACAGTACTGTGGTAGGGAATTAATAACGTAAATACAGTTCCAGCAGCACTAACATCACTGACCACCAGCTACCCTAGAAAACAGAAAAGCTCCAAAATACTAGCCAATATCTGAAATTTTCTAAAACTTTTGTCTACTCCAAACTTGTGAAGAAAGCAAATTTCACAATCCTATGACACGTTTCCCAAGCAATGTTTCATCCATTCGTATCAGGCATGACTCCAACAGCTAACAAGAGGAAAGGATAACCAGGTGAGCTAACACATCCACATATTCTTCCATGCACAAATGCTGCTTCGAAGCCCATGTCACTTTGCAGCCTCACTCTTAAATGACCTACACGTGGGTGGGGGCAATCCCAAGTACAAATATAGAATGGGTGGAGAATGGATTGAGAGCAGCCCTGAGGGCATGGATTTGGGGGTCTTGATTGATGAGAAGCCAACCATTTGTTGGGCTGCATCAAAAGAAGCAAGACTAGCAGGTTAAGGGGGGCAATTCTTCCCCTCCACACTGCTTCTGTGAGACCCCACCTGAAGCGTTCAGCTCTGGGGACCCCAACATAGGAGGGACATGGAGCTGTTGGAGCAAGTCTATGAAGATGATCAGAATATGCTCAGGGGGCTGGAGCATCTCTCCTGTGAAGACAGGCTGAGAGAGTTGGGATTGTTCTGCCTGGAGAAGGTTTCCAGTGCCTAAAGGGGGCTTACGAGAAATCCAGAAAGGGACTTTTTACAAGGGCAGATACTGAGAAGACAAGCAGGAGTGAATTTAAACTCACAAAGGAGAGATTTCGATCAGATATTAGGGAGAATTTCTTTACTGTGAGGGTGTGAGGCATTGGCAAAGGCTGCCCAGAGAAGCTGTGGCTGCTCCATCCCTGGCAGTGTTCAAGGCCAAGCTGGACAGGGCTTTGAGCAACCTGGTCTAGTGGAAGGTGTCCCTGCCCATGAGCCCTGGAATAGAGTGGGTTTTTTCCTTTGTAGCTGGTACACTTCTGTGATTTTGATTTAGTGTAACACTGATAAACACAATGATGTTTTATTTGTTGCTCAGTAGTACTTACTCTAAATCAAGGACTTTCAGTTTCCCATGCTCTGCCAGTAAGGAGGGGCAGAAGGAGCTGGGAGGAAGCAGAGACAAGACACCTGACCCAAACTAGCCGAAGGGATATTGCACAGTGCAGAACGTCATACCCAGTATATAAACTGGGAGGAGTTGGCCAGGAGCTACCAATCGCTGCTCGGGTTGGGCTGGGAATTGGTTAAAGGGTGGTGAGCAATGGTATTGTGAATCACTTTTTTTTTTTTTGTTGGGCTTTATTCTTTTATTATTATTTTTTATATTATTATTATTATTATTTAATTTCAACTATTAAGCTGCTCTTTTTCAGTCCATGGGTTTTACCCTTTTTTTCTGATTCTTCTCCCCATCCCACTTGGCTGGGGGAGGGAGGGCAGTGAGCGAATGACTGCATGGTACTTAGTTTAGATGCCAGCTGGGGTTAAACCACACACCATGGCAAGGGCATTGGAAAGGTCCTTACCACTCTACAGTTCTGATTCCTTGATAAATCACAAGCCTGTTTCACCACTGCACTTTATTAAAGGCAATATTTATAGCCCTGAAAGATGGCCAAAGCTGACAAGAAACATCTGCACACTGCTAGGAACGAGTGCACTATGAGAGCCAGCATTACCGCAAACCACCATAAGTTTAGAAAGAAAGGAAGTGCCAGCATCTGGCACTTGGTGAAATAAACAGTACAGCAGCTCCCAGGTTTTGTTTTGCCTCTTGAAGCAGTGGCAAGGATGTGAACGAGCAACACCCAGCAAGAAGGAGAGTGTGCTCTTTCCCATGTTCACGACTAGCCCAAAGGCTGCGTAACAAACCTTATCTTCAAACCTCCCCAGTTTAAAACTTCCCTGTGATGGAGGGGACCCATACATGTATCACCTTGAAGAATATGGGATGCTTCCTTCAGTTATTCTGACAGTCGATTAGCTTGTTACTTTGTAAGTACAAAAAGACAATCAAATCAGCAGTATAGGTTGCCTGTAACATAAGGCTTTTGTTCGGGGAAATGCCAGATTGTTAATATTAAAGTAAGATTTCAGTTCTTGGGATTTTTAAGTGGTAAGAAGAGACAGTGCTCACAGCACTGAAGGCTTAGGAAATGCAGACCATTGCAAGCTGCCTTCTGGACAGGTCATTTTAGCAGGGTCTAGGGCATGTTACTCGGGGACATGTTACAAGGCTGACATCTCTTCTTACCTCCAAGACTCTCTCGGTGAACAATTTCCTGCCCTGTCAGTTTCCCCAGCTGTTGAACACAGACAGCAATACTTGCCTCCCTCTGTAAAGTGCTTATAACAGGCTCTAATCAAGGGCTAGGAGTGATTGAAGACTCTCTTCTGCAGTCTGCAGTTTCTGCACACAAAGAACCCACAACAGCACTCCCAGCTAAATACAGCCAAGAAAGTGCTTTGTGATACAAAGCAAGACTGGTCATGGATTTATCATGCAGCTTTACTCTTTATCACATAAAAATGAGAAACCTCTCAACTAACAGAAGTAGGCTGAAAATGTAAACAACTATACTCCCCCTAATCCTGGATTCAAGGCCAAATGGGACTGTAATGATACTACTGGTAATTGCCTGTACAGCAACAGCTGTGGATTTTCATCCAGAGACTTTTACATTAATCTCTTCTATCGGAAAACACAAAAAGGAGAAGCTAAAAAAAAAACCCAGAACCCTCTGGTCTCACCTCACAGGCTGTGGCCAGAAGCCAGCTCCTTAACCCTTTCTGTCCCAGCAATGTATTCCTGATGCACGTTCCCTCCTTCTGCCAAAGCATTCCCGAGTTCACAGTGAATGCACGAAGGCTGTGATCACCATATCCAGCAGAAACTACAGTAATTCAATAAATAGCTGCCGTGGTAAATTCGTTACTTTCTAACAGCAGCAGCCGCCCCTCCACACTCATGGATGAAACACGGGCAGACGTTAACATCTGTAAAGCTGTTTTGCCTTTAACACACCATAACAGCTAGGTAGTCTGAAACATTTTATGCTGTCTTCTTCACTTACTCCATTATCGATCAGGTCAATGGTGATTTAGCTGCCACTGCCAAGGTATCTCAATCATGTCATGCTCAGCACTTAGCACACTTTATCTAAGAATACCCGAGATTCACTTATTCCCCTCCAATCCGAATCCTGAGTTTCATCAAAATCTAAAACCTCCACAGCAATGTAAGGTTGTGGAGTTGCTGCAACTTCCAGACAAAAACAGAGCAAGGCCAGTAATGTTCAGGATACAGGCACTTCATATCATAGTGGTCCACATTCCCACCCTACTACCCTGCAACCGAAACCCCAGTATGTGTACCTGCAGTTTCTGATGCCTTAAACCTTGAGATGCTCTTAATTTTTTAGCAAATCAATGGGGGAGGGGGAAATCTCTGTTTTGTCCCAAGGAAGAAG